TATCTTGACTCAAAATTCAGAAATTGGAATGCTTTTCCGGGCGGAACATTGACACGGAGGAAGCGGCCAACTTTTAAAATGCTGTTCTCATGCTCCAACCCAGAAAATTTCCAAGACACTTGAAAAGAGTCGCGCGGGAGCATTGAAGGAAAGGTGACGGAATATAACAAAGACAACCCAAACAAGATATGTCATCCATTATTGATGCTCTTGAATGAAAAATCTGGTCCTGTTTGGAAAATGACTTCGCCTCCATAGATCGATATCCTCTTTGATCAAATAAAGCTCATTTAACATAAAAAAAGACCATCTTATAATTCCCAACTTACCTGTATTCGTTTCTTTTTCCTTTCAGATTCCTCCACATGTTGATGAGGAGCGAGTGTTTTTTGGCTTTGAGCATTTCGCTGTTTTGTTCGCTCTAGCTCGAATGCGTCTGTCATTTGAGCAGAAATCAAACTGAAGAACCTGTAAGGTGTTTTTTTTCAGAGTAAGCTTCTTCAGTTTCAGCTTATGGATTGTGTACGTACGTTGGAGAGGTAGTTGAAGCTACCACCGACTTTTAACTAATTGATGAAAACTTTATTTCCCTTTACCTTTTCCATACATCTGTAATCTGCGCTGGAGCATAAGTTTGGGCAAAACGCACTTTCTTCTTTTCGGTACCTTCCGGAACTGGCATGACCTGTAAACACACTGAATGAGCTTCGGCTAAGTTGGCCTACAGCGATTCAAGAAAGTGTAGCTGGTTGGTGAGAAATGGAAGAAACAGGCAAAATTAGAGGATTTGAACTTTCTTTGATAATGCTCACCTCTCGCGACACTCTACGGCACTTTGCAAGAAATTTGAAGTGGAGCAGGAGGGTGTTAGCAGGTGTGATGAGGGTAGGAGAGGTATGAAAGAACTTCTCCAACCCTGGTGGTAGTGGGTATTGGTGCCGAGACAATTTTAAAAGGGGAGGGCAGGGTCGCAAAATTTCAAAACCGTTGAAAAGCGATGGTCCACGCAGGTGCAGAAGTTATTACCAGAGCACTGAATCGCCCGTATAGAGGAAGTTTAAAAGAAATTTTTGTGGAGTTTCGAAGTAGTCATGGTTAAGTAGTGCAAAAGATCAAATAAACAAACCTTTTCTCCAGTGAGATACGGTATGAAGTTCTCGACGAACGTGCTGAGCACCACGTCAAAATAGTTCTTCTCGAATTGGTTCTGGTTTTGCTCGAGAAAACTGAAAAGAGCTTGTAGGATGGAGAGGGCCAGTTGTGTAATTTTTCAGAGATACTTTAGCTTGACGTGAATTCGTCCAGTTTTTCGTACGAGTTGCCACGCACCGGACAGATTCTCTGTGAAGCCAAGCATGGTTGTGGTCTGAATTGATAAACATTTAGAACGCATTTGAAGCCTTGAACCCTAAACCAATCGAAGAGGAGATACCTGATCTATGAAATCAGAAAATCGTGCCACATGGCCGCCGAATTTCGGCATTTTTAGCATGCCCGCTTTCGGTGCCCGATCCACGCCAAACTCCTGTAAATGTGCATAGTACAGTGTATTCTATACTACAACATCACTCCATACAAACTGCTGGAAGTGGTGATGGAAGCGGTAATATTCGTGCAGTGAATGGAGTCTACAGGGGGACTGATCGGCCCTTCGACGGAATAATGAAGTATGATCAAAAGGACTGATAAAGCCACCAACGAAATGGACCACATCGGTTCGGAGTGGCTGTGAGTCTTTTCTCCTCCACTCCAGGGTCAAACTTGTTTCAATTCGTTCTGAAATCCGCCCTCCCTCCACCGCAGATCCATGATGGCGATGGTGACGATAATGTGGTTAGAGCCTTTTTGATGCACATTTTACTAGGCGTTGCGGCGTATATAACTGGAGGTAAATAAAACTGAGGGAAATGCAAAATTTTCGATAATCGATTTACAGTTTGTTGATTATCTCTGAACTTTGTGAAAATTCCAAACTCCTGGAAAAAAATTCATCTCAATGTCTTTTTGGGATA